TGCCAAAAGTGAATTTGCCGGTTCCGATAACACTCGTACTAGCATACTCTGCAATACATCACATCCGCTACGAAATACGCTTGCAAAATGCTTTTTGACACTCTGAATTGTTGCCATTTTTTTCGCAAAAATGGTTGGAAATACGAAGAATCACCGCCGCTAAAAACAGTTTAGCCATTTCATTTTAATAATATTACTGAGGGATCATAGGGAGATTTTGTCGCAAAGCACGATATTTTAGAAATTACGTTTTTCAAGGTAAGTGTAAATTCGTACCAAGCATCATCGCATGCTTTCTAGGAGAAATTCCCTGGTATTGCAATGCAAAATTCGCAAGCATAAACAAACCTTATCGAGACTGTGGAAAGGAACAATCACTGGAAAGCGCCCGACGAGCTCGGGCACAATCCCAAAAGTTATCAGGTCTCCCTGATCAGCTTGCCGCAGCAATTCGTCTCGCTTCTTAGCTATTGCTGTTTCTAGCTTATCGTCGTCAGTTATTCGTTGCAAACCCGATCTTGCACCTGCAAAATGCAACACACTTCAAAAAGCTCCGCCAGCGCTACTAGTAAAGTGAATAAGAAGGGAACCGACGCAATTAGTGATAGCCACGCCGACTTAGAACGTAAACTTATGGACGCACAGATCACCAGAAGGGGAGCTATCATCAACACAGACCGTATTTTAATGTTTACGATGAGAATTCGAATATATTTAGGATAAATGCAGTATCTGAAAGGCGTAGTCCTGATGCTACAAGCCAAGACTAGAAAGAAACCCGATCATTTGGCATTTCGCCAGAAGCACACAAAAACACTGGAACTTTTGTTAGATTACACATAAGATTCAACAGTAGTGCGCTGTAGAGGATCAGAACTCTCTTGTATTTTTCCAAAAAAAATCTTTTTGCTTTCCTAAATCTCTCATCATCGCATGCATGCGCTAGTGAGCCACTTAGAAACGCTGGAACTGATGTCTTAAACATAGGCATTTGACAACTTTTTGCTGCATTTTGTCAGATTTCTCTTCAATTTAATCCCCTCCACAGATGTGCACAGACAAAACAGCTGCTGTATTGTCAAGAGGAAAATCAGTGACAAAATTAGCATAAAAGAGAAAAGCCAAAGTTCCCTCCGCACTCACTGTATGCGAGAGGCATAAGTACCGGACATAGCCCGAGTAGGTACAAAGTGTCAAGCAGTAACCATCCATCGGCAGAACCATCGATGATCCGTCCTTTTTCATGACCTGTGTGTGTCCTTTTGGTACGCATCAATACTAATTTCTCACCAAAACAATGGACGAATCGTACAGTAACAGGCTGCTCCCGTGGTAAAAAAAAAAAAACCCTCCGACTTATTATGCGCTTTGTGCTGTGTAACAGCGTTACAAAACACATATTGTCACGGGGTTGTCTGTGTGTGTTTGTGTGTGCCCCACCTTTTGTCCCGCACTTTCAATTCGGGAACCACAAAAGCTAGGCGGCTGAAATTTTGGTATAGTGTTC